TGACCGAAACCCTCTCATCGCCGAATACCATCTGGACTCTTTGTTCGATTATGCTTCCAAAGGCTCCTGAATCGGAATTGGGACAAGACGACAATCCCCTAGTGGAAGCATTGTATAACTACCAACTTCTTCACGTGGAGGCGTACGTTGTTCACGTTGACATGATTTCCCAGAACGAAGTCGCCTTCAAACTCACTCCAGAGACTATTGAATCGCTAGTTGAATATCATAAGGACATCTACTCCGTGGACACTGCGGCCAACACCTGGAACTGGTCGGAGAAAGAGATACAGCTTAAGAAATTACAGGAGGAATTCGTTCAGGCCGCCAACAGATTCGTATATCGCACATCTGCGACTGCGCTCGAGGGGATGGAGGAGGATGGTGCTGGTGAACTACTCTGTGGTCGAAGCGATGAGGCCAAGGCGGCCATTCTTGGATTGTTTCTGCCACTGCTACCTCCTCCACCCCGCATTGTTGATGTGGTGAGGCCTACTCCACTCCTTCCCAGCTCGACCGGGCCTGATAACTGGTGGCACAGTCCAATCCATCAACCTCACACCGAACAGGTTGATTCATGGAAAGTTGTCCCGTCCAGCCCTAGCACGACTTCCTCGAGCGATTCGCACCAGAGCCTTTGGGCTGCCAGCCTTGCGCTCAATGAGATTCAAGTTTTGTCGCCAGCTCCGTCGCACAGCCAACCGTACTCCACCGCGGCTTACAGTGAGCCTCAGTACTTCAGCGCTCCAGTGACCACAGCATCAATTCAGCAGTTCTTGCTACCCAGTATGCTTGCGCAGCAACAATGTAGCACTGCGGCGAGTATTAGCGGTTTTGGTTGGGGTGAGCGCTACCAGGACTTTGCCCTTCCCTATGGAACTACAATGTAGCAGCCACAGGGAGTCAGGTTACGCGCGGACCTGAGAGAGCATGAACTGGGATTATGTTTCCATCAATAACTACATTCCGAGACACCTTAGCTCAGTGAACATGTGGTACTTTGACCAATGTTGTAATGAGACATGCGACTTTTGATACTAGACAATGCGAAACCAACGACATTCACGGCATACCCGACGGCGTTTCATTTAATCGACAATGGTGACATTTGGGGAGAGAGCATACTTTCTATTCTATTTCTTACCAGTTGATACTGCCTAATCTTGTTTCTATTTTCTCTCATTGATTTATTTTTTTTGTCGTGCGTTGTTCAGCAAGCGTTGCCCTTTTTGTTTAATTTGTAAGGTCTGGTCATCTTGTTTCTGCATTTTGCATAACCGGCGGGTCGGCTATTTGATGATTTATTTTGTGACACACCAACTCCCTTGGCGGATATAATTTCTTTTCTTTTCTCTTCTTTACTTCTGAGTTGCGTTTTCGTTGCCCATTTCGCATTTTTCATATTACCTCAAAGATCCGATGTGCCTCGCGGCTCGAAACGTCTTTTATTTTGTCGCTTATTATAGATTGCGGTTTAAAGAGAAGTACGATACCGGGACTTGTTGACTGGCTAGCACAGTCCGTTATCCCGGGTACTTTTTGTTCCCTCTCTTTGGTCCACACTCGCTCTTGGTACTGCGTACCGAATCCTTATACGGATTGGTGAGGCTACGACCGGCGACATCCCGGCTCTACCAAACATCTGGCATGTTTGTGAATCCGATCCACACATGCCCCCATTCTCGTCGTTTGGAAGGTTGAATGACGATATCCCGGAACATGGCAGCTACTGGCGACTCGATCGACGCTCGACCTGTGGTTGAACTCTTTAGGGTGAGAAAGGGAAACCCCTCTGGGATGGAATCTGAGGTTCCGATCTGATGTTACCTTTCTCCCCGCCAGCTTAACGCTTTGCTTCTGATATCCCCAATTCACCGGAAATATCGGCCGGATGCGTGGACTACCCCCCCCTTCGAAGCTCATCCTCTTTTTCTTCAGGGCTGATTTTCATTATCTTTTACCCCTTTACTAGTCGAATCACGCCCTGGAGAGGCCTCGCCCACATTTTACCACTTTCCCTGGCTGGAAGAGAAGGTTGGCAGGAATCGGATGCAGGAATCCTACAAACCGTTTACATTCATTTGGTTATTTTTGGGCTGGGTGGGAAAACTCCGAAGCTGGGCTTTGGAGTGCTTTTTATTTTGATATACCTCCTGTTAATTTTGTTTGTGATTTCCCACCCAGCCACATAGTCGATATAGTATCTAGTATATTGTTGTTCGATAGTTAGTTTAGTTGACCCCCCTTGTTTGAAATATAATATTTTGGACGGGATTTACCGTGCTCTTCATGGACTCATCGTGAAACTGTGATTTATTTCGTGACTATGTAGGCCGTATCCTCAACTGGGGAAAGGTTAACGCCTGTCCAGATATTCATCCAACTCAGCCCCAATTTTCTCGAGCTTGAAATGGTAGATAATTGCGTTGAAGAGTGAAGCGCGGAGGTTAAAGAACGAGTGACAGAATTTTATGGGAGAAGTACACGGGTTTGGCTTGTGGAAAAGCTGAAGGACAATACAATGTTGGTTACAGAGGGAGCGGGTGAGGGGGAGTGTGATTCCTATGCTAGAAATGGACTTGGAGGACAATGAGCAATGGTAGAGTAGAGACATTTTGCTTTCATGTGATATTCGTACATCATCGGTATTATATATATAGGCGTTGTAGCTAGCGAAAATTATGCATCTGATCTATGTAAGTTATTTCCAACCAAATCCCCCCCCCCCCTCCCCCCAAACCAATTGACAATCATGATTTAATCGTATATTCCCTGTGGGCGTACACGGACATCTCAGCCAGGGAGTTGTCCTCCAGTTTCAGAGAAATTGACCTATTCACTCACAAGCCACCCGAAATTCCCTTCGCTCCTGATGACATTGGATGTATGCAACCGTTTCCCTCCCTCGCAGCTCGACGTCCTCGATCCCCAGCAATGGTTGGCTTAAGTCATTCAGAAGGCCGCGCGCGTTTCCAATGAAACCTAAGATTTTTTCCAATTCACGGTGTCAATGCGAAAGTGAGGTGGGTCAAAAAGGGTTCGACAAATGCCAGATGCCGATGTCCAGTTTCGACGTTCAAGAGCATGCCATTTTGAGGGAAGTGGGCGCGTTCACGAATATTCTGAGACAGGGAACCATGTTGTACATTCCCCTTCGTTGCACCACAGCGGGGATAGGATATCGTTACTCTTGTACCTAGTGTTTTGCAAAATTCATCCATTAGCCCTCCATAAACCAGGTCTCGACATGGGTCCTGCTATTTCCCCCGCGATCTCGAAATCCTCCACAGAACGAAAACGAGAAGAGCGTTATCTCACCTCCGGCGGATTCCCTGCCCCGCGAACCATCTTTTCTATCATCATCGCTCGAACTTTCTCCTTGTTCTCTCCCATCCCTATTGCCATGTATTCCAACAGGGGCGGGTGTCCGATGTACGACGCATAGCTATCGCGGAGGATGTTGGACGTCCACTCGTACTTCGTGGTGTCTGCGTGGCCGGTGCCAACATAGCGAGCTTGCAGAGCCTCGAGATTTTGGAGAGTGCGCAGTTTATCGGCCATTGTGATTTGTTTTTAGCTTCTGAGATAAGGTGGTGTTACGGTTGGTGTGTTTAAAAGTTGAGTTGGCTACAGGATGTTGGCTTATTATATAAAATAATCACGTGACTATGGAACAGCCCGCGAAGAAGTTTACTTCAACTACTGGTAGTAAGTTAGTGATAACTATTGGATGATGCATTTGCGAAGACATTCCGTATTCATCAATGATCTCGATCATTATCTTCGCATCAAAAATCTTGTGAGATAAGTTGACCGTATTCTGATGGGCAACAACTCCTTGGAGAGTCGCATAGCAAGGCTTGTCCACTCGCATTTTGACGCCCTACCGAAACGCAGCAAACCAACAATCCATCCTGATGGATCGAGGCAATGGGTACCCCTGAGCGGTATTGTATTTGCCATCGGTAAGCCGAACACTTTTGAGTTTTGAGTTGGGCCGTCCTATGGAAGGAAACCATATACGTTTGGCTCTGCTGGACTCTTCCCCTTTCTGATGGCCTGTCTGAATCCATCCCATGGTCGAGAAGTGAAGCCTCGCATCTTGTGGTATATATATATATATATATATATATATATGTATATGTATATTTGAGTTACTCGAAAATATCTAATGAGCATTTTTAATTCTTGAATTGGGTTGTCTTGCGATTTTTACTTGTGACCTACAGATAGCGTTTATTTGGGGGAGGGAGGGAGGAGGGGGGTGTGGTTATTGAAATCATACATTGGCTAATTCTGCGGCAAAGGGGAGAATACACAGGATGAGATTTTAACTTGTGTAGCTATCGCGTATGTATACCATGATCTACTGCGTGGGTTAATTCCGCTGACTTTGGGAAACAGAACGGGGGCGAAATGCCTCTCATCTTCTCAAATGAAACAATGCCGCGGCATGGTACTGCATGATAGCCACGCTGAAATCTTAGCGATTCGGGCTTTCAACCACTGGCTGCTTGAAGAATGCAAATCCCTGCTTCAACAGAGGGTAGGCTCTTCTAATTATGAATTTGAATGTGGGAGCATTGGAGCCAACGAGGCCAGCGGCAACTATGGCGCGGGGGCATATCGAGTCCACGAAAGGATGTCTGATAAGCAAGCATCGGTGTTCATAAATTGGAGACATCGGCCAGAAACGCAGGAAACGCAGGAAACGCCAGCTCCATACAACCTCTCTAGAACTTCAGATATTAATCACTTGGCGAAGACAAAATTCTCATGGCCGCCCTTCGAACTCCGTAAGGACCTAAAACTATATATGTACGGAACCTGTGCTCTTTGTGGCGATGCTAGCATGGAGCTTTTCTTGACCTCTCAAGAAGGATCC